TTTTAATTACATTTAATGAAGGACCATAAGACATTAAAGATTCATATCTAGCATGAATCCCATCTTACGGACACTGGGTTATTTAAATCAGAAGATTGGATCTTTTTATTACAGGGATTTTCTAATAACACTTTAGAAGAGAGAGAGACTTTCAAACATTTAAGGAAATTTATTTACTAAATAATTTTAAACAATTTAACAAGACTAACTCTCTAATGATGGATGTTCTGTTGGAATGAAGTGTAAGGTGGTTGGTGTGTGTGTGAATGATGTTAGATTCAGAACCTTCGCATCCGGAGAAGCAAAGTCTGAGTGGGAGATGATGTTTTGCTCCTAACTGATCAGAGTTTGAGACCCGTGGTCATAAACACATGAGACGCCATTCTGTCGCATCCACATACCCTCAGTGAGACCTCCGTACAGATCCGGATGCCAGGTCCACGGACCCTCCTTTCGGTACTGGAGCCGATGGTACAGCATCACAGCACGACAAACCAGTCTTTGGATAGTCTCCAGGTAAAAAGCGACAGGTGTTTCACAGCGTCAAAAAGAGGACCCTCCTTGGGTCAGCGAGTTCAGCTTTTATTCTGAAGGAACCGTTGTTGGTGTGGTGGGAAACAACGGCAGATTTTTCCCAGCTTGATGGTTCTCAGCTTAGAAAGAAAAGTATAGATGGCCTGTCCGTACTTCACTTAACATGTGGTGAACTTCATGGGATCTTGAGAACTGAACTTAAGATGGCGTTGTTCTGTTTTATTAATCTGGATGTTTTTGATTCTGGACGAATCAAAGCTGACAGATTAAATAAACACCACAGAGACTCTGCCACGCTTCAGACTAGGAAGGTTCTGATTGGATCAGTACAGCAGTGTGTCATGTGATTATTTACCTTAATGTATCAGCGTGTCTAGTGACTAGAATAAGTCATATTACTTAATATAAAACATACTAATCATAATATTGAGATTTCACAGATCGTCACATTGTATTATTGACTAACAGTTGTTTTGATTAGCTTTATTGAAAATAGTTCTTTGATCTAATGAAAGAAAAGAAAAGAGTCTTCATCTTCTGTCTTCATCGCTGGAACGTAAACAGTTTAGAAGCGAGTGCATGACCTTGAGGCTGTTTCATGCACTCTGGCGCTGTGTCAAAGGGAACTGTGGAAAAGATTAAATAACCTTGGAGGAGTAGCTCCTTCATCACGTTACGTATTATTCATTGATTCATGTTCAGATTACTGGTGTTTTTTATTTTATTTATTTATTTTTTTTGCTGATTTATTTTTGTTGTCATTCATTATTGTTATTGTTATTATTACAATTTAAATTTTTATCGTATTTAATTCATCATTCTGAGTATAAAATAGATTTTGTAAATAAGGTAGGCAGGTAGGTTCTACTTGTGTTTTTTTTCCTTTTCTGAACTTTAAAATCACCAAATAAACAATGTTGACTGAAATTCTTTCCTTTTTAAGAAATATGTTGATTAAATAAAGAATTTGAAATAAAACACGACAGAGCGCTCCACGCCCCTCTCCACATCTTCAGCTCGCTGCCCGCCTGACGTACGCGCCGACCACGAGCTGCGCTGAGCTCGGCGTCCAGCTCAGGTGCTCTGACGGGAACGTTTTACTGGTTGATGACGCTACCTCCGCGACGTGCGTAACGATTAAAATGTCAGCGCATCTGCAGCCCGGAGGTTTCTCTGTCAAATAAACGGTCAAATTTAAAAAATGCAGTTTAGCCGTTCTGCCTTCTTGTGAAGATTGTAGCAAAGAGAATCATTAAACGTGATCAACACCAGAGCCGTGCACTCTGCGCCGTTATCTCCGTCACTGCTAACGAGGGACAGTATGCTCTAATGGGAAACAGGCTTCAACGCAAACGGTTGTTTTCCGCTTGGTCCTAGAGCTCAACCAGTGTCAGTTTAATATAGCGTAATATTGTTTTTGGATGGTAAAAAGTGGGGGGGGGGCATGCCCCCCCCCCCCCCCCCAAATTACGTCCATGGTTTGTATTCTGAACTGTGTTTTAAAAGGAGACGTGCGACTCGGTAAAAAGCAGCACCTGCTCAACATTAAAACCACCAACAGGGTGAAAAGTATCACATTATTGTCGGATCAGACGAGCCACAACTTCTGAGTCACTGTTACACAAACTGTTTTATCAATTATCTTCTGTTGAAAGATAACTTTGATGTGCACGAGTGGACGGTGTTGGTTGCTGTCACCCGTTGTGATTGGTTAAAGAAGCTCTCGCTGTCTGAGGGCGGACCCAAGTGCAAGTGGGTGGGCCCAGGCCCCGCAGGCCCACCCACAACGCCGCAGCTGCTGTGCTTTCTTTACTAATGGAAAACGGGTAATAATGACTCTTGGATGGGAAAAGGTTGCCGACCCCTGGTCTAGAGGCTATTTACAGAGTTCCTGCAATGAGAACAGATTTTTTTTATCACAAAGCTATTAGACTTTAAAATCCTTACAAGTTTAAATTTATATTTTAGTGTTTCAAAAATATAAACAAATTAGGAATTATTATTATTAGGAACATTTCTAAATCTGTTCAGATGAATGTGCAGAGCTTCTGTTTGACACGGTTGTTAAACGTGCTGGTTCTGCCGCCGCTCTGATGTTGTGCTTCTGTCTGGAAACAAGCTAGCACACACGAGCAGCGGTGGCATCGCTGTAAGAATCTGTGAGAGTAAAATCTCTCAAGCTTTCGTCAGTTTTCTTCATTTGAATTTTATAAAATT